ATAGGTTTCCTCTTGTCAGTAGATTGTCTTCCTCAAAATTGTATTTTGACAAACCTGTTTTTTGTTCTTTGTTGATTTTAGCCCGTTTAGTCCCACTAACTAGATTTTCTGTTGATTCTGCTACTTCCTCTTCTATTTCTCGTATCATAATCCTAGATTGCTTCTTCTTCTTTTCCATGAAAATTTCAAAAGTCAAACCAGAGTAAGTTTCTTCAATTGAAATAGCCTTACCCTTTCTTTTTCTAATTAGATCCTCTTCTGACAAGTTAAGATATTTTTCCCTCTTTTGCACTTTCTAATTGTCCTCTCATTCTTACCACATCATCAGTTCGCCTTATCTCGACTTAATTTTGACTTGACAGATCGTAGTTTCTGATTGTACAGTTTCCGTCAGCAGACACCCCTATGTTGTCAGACACCCTTCCCCCTCTGTAGCCTTCTGTACTTTCTTCTCTGGTTAGCACTTCCCTCCGGTCATCCTTTGCCAGTGAGATCATTTCACGATAGGCACTTCCATCGATCCAAACTATGTTTACATTCTCTCCTTAGCTTTTCCCTTCCTGAAAAAGTCTTCTTCGAATTGAGGAATTCACCACCTAAAGCTGATGTCTTTCTACTACCCTCTCCGGTGATGCCAGCATCAGGTTCTTATCACCATGCCTTGACTCTGATTCTGGTTGTAAGCTTCCTGACTCATCATCCTTCTCCTCCCTTTCCTTTTGTCTTGACTTCTTGTTTTTTAGGCTTCCTTTGTTTATTGTCCTAAAATCTTCATTGTTTGGGATTGCACGAAACCACTCCCCATAATACCTAGAAGCTTTCTCTTCATTCATAGATTGTATTGCCATCCTTTCAGATAGTTGCTCTAGAAATTGATCCTCAGATACATTGCTGTAGTTCTGATCTTTGTGTCCTATTATGCCACATTGTTCACAAAAGATCGGCAACCTTTCATATTAGAAGGCGAACCATTTTTCCTCCCCATTTTCATTTATATCCGAGTTACCTAGGGCCAAAGGTTTTGTAATGTCAATGATTACCCTTATTCTGTATGGTTTGTCCCACAAGGTCTTGTCTTCTTCTGATCTATCCTTCTCCTTTTCTTCTTTGACTGGTACACTAGCACACTAGACCAATTATGCTCTCCAAGCCCAAAATCTCTTTTCCATTGGGGCGTCTACTATTCTAATGAAGATTCCTATTTCATTTATGAGCTAGGGCTCTTGGCTCAAAAACATCTCCAGATCTGATTTCTTTTTGAAGACTATCCACAGTATTTTATCCTTAGCCATTTCACCTCGTACCTGTTATTTGGCCAAAAATTCTTTACTTTTTGGATTACTCCAAAAGCATTCATCTATTTGTTTGCAACTACCTTCCCATACAGAGCTTTTCGGCATTTCTCTTCTAGTTTCTTCTGTTTCATTTTGATTTCCGTATCCAGATCGTCTTCATTAGGATTCTCCATCCCTCTTGGAACCCGTATTGTTTTGTTGTAGACCAATATTGTTTTGCTATAGGAATCCATCACTAGGTGATCTCCCTTTCACTGCTCCATCGAGTAACCTAACTAATTGAGTCATTGAACTGTTTAACCTAATCAATGGGGTCACAAGTTAGACATTAATTCTCTTTATTGTAACTTTTGTATTCCATTCCCATCATTAATAAAATAATTATTATTATTTATCACACTTAGCTTTTAATATAAAAAATATAATATTAAAGATGAATCTAATTTTTTATAATACTTTTGTATTTTATAACTTTTTATATTTTTATCTATTTAAAAATTTTATTATTTAATTATGGCATTATGAGCACACTTGGATGAAAAAATCATTTTGCTTTTATGTTGATTTTAAATTAGTATTTCATTTCTATCATTAATAAAAATAATTCTTATTTCTTTTACAATTATTTTTATTTAATATAATGAATATATAATATTAAAGATGTGCCCATACGTTTTGCACAAAAAATTTATATTTTTGTGTTTTGATCTTTTTAAATATTTATTATTTAATTATGACATCATGGATTGACCCATTTGACCTAGAAGGTATAATCATTGGCCTACCACCTAGATAGGAGTATGGTTTGTTTTGAATTGCTTTAAATTTTATGTTTCATTTACATCATTAAAAATTTATTCTTATTCTTATTTATCACATTTATTTTTGCTTAATATGATTAACATATAATGTTAATGATGTGCCCAACATTTTCTATAACTTTTGCATTCTTTTTTTCATAATTCTTTGCATTTTTATTTACAAATTAATAATTAAATTACAATTTAATAATTAAAACAATCAGCAACAATGATGTTTACGGTTTGGTTAGGTTTTTGAAATTTAGAAAACTAAATCAAATTAGAAAATTACAGTTTGAGAAAATTTTGTGCCAAACTAGATCAAGATACCAAATTCAATTTGGTTCGATCTAGTTTGGCTGTCTAAATCATATAATGAACACCACTAAGTCTGCCTATAGAAAATAAAATGAAGTGAAAAAGAAGGATGATGAACATTGTCCCATCAATCAATTAGCTAATGCAACATCCTTTAATCCTTTCATTTAATTGTATCGTAAAAAAATGAGATTCCTCGTTTTTTATTTATCTTCATAAGAAAAGATATACTTGTTGTCTGATTCTGCAACAAGGTTTAAATCAGAAACAAGTCTTGCCCTACAACCAAAGACAGTCATCAAAGTTCCCAAGGTATTGACCCAAAGGCAACCACTCTAAGGCTGCGTTTGAATGTGATGTAAATATTTATTTGGAATTCAATACCGATTGGTTTAAAGTTGTGAACCGTTGTAAAGTGAAAGGTGTGATTATTGATGTAAATATTTACATCGATTTTATCGATGTTGTATTTGTATCAATTATTGATGTTAAATTTTACCATGAATTCGACGTAAAACTACATTCCATCTAAAGGCTGTCAAATACGGATCAGAGTGTTTAATTATATCACTCCATATTTATACTACAAACAAATGCAGCGTATGGGTCAAATTAATAGAATATAAGTGGTGGAAAAGCTAGGGGAGCTAAGAAGCTTGGTAAATGACAAGTGTGCCGAGGTGGGAAAGCTAGGGAAGTAGAAAGTACAAGGAGTCTAGAGAGCCTTAACTTGATGTCCTCCTCAGCTTATTTATAGGTGAAGGAACCATTGAATGTGGGGGCGGAAGACTTAGTAATAGCTTCCTAGGTCGATGCCTCCTCTAACCCATAATGTATGAAACTATGAACTAGTCTTACATGGCCGATTGTTATGCCAGACAAGTATATTGTCATTAATGGCCTGAACCGAACAACCTAGCCAACATGTAACAATCGAGCGTTATAGTCATGCATGGCTCTCTTAATTAGAGGTGTTGATGGGTTGGTCAATCAAACTAATTTAATTGAATTGGAGAATTGTTCACTCGAAACTGATTGGTCAAGTTGTATTAATTTTAGGTCGATTTTTAATTTGGTGGTCAATTCAAAAGATCTAACATGGTGTTTGGGACCGATTTTCAAGAAAAAACATCTATGCTTCCAAATTTGATAAGATGATTTTTATCACCGTTTTTCATGTATATGTTGACAGAAGAACCACATAACATACACATCAGTCAACTGTTGGAGGAAACGGTTCACTGATGCATGGAATGCCAAATTTGGCATCGGTGGGATCCGCATGCCCGATTCTGTATTTATTTCATTGGACTTTCTCTTGTTTAAGAAAAAATTGATTCTTCTATCTTCGGAATAGAAAAAAAAAAAAACAGTTTTTTCATCCCTCCTACGCCGGTTTATCTGGCGAGGAGGTGATGGATTTTTCATCCCTCCTCCGTCACTTGAATTTAATAGCTAAAATATAAGTTTATCTGGCGAGGAAACGTGCGAGGAGGTGATGGCAATTTCTGTCGATTTAAGTTTTTTATTTTGTAAAAAATTTTAATTTTGTTGTTTTTTTCGCTTTCTGCCCCTCCTGCGCCGGTTTGCTTTTTGGGAAGTGAAGAGGATTTCCTATTATTATTTGGCCGGAAAAATACAGAGGCAAGGAGGGAGATGAGCTACAGTGTCTATTACCCTTTGTTGATATTTTTTTTTTTAAATTATTCTATTTTAACTATTATAAAAATATTACTATTTATTGATATTAAGGGCAAAAGGTTACCAAACTTAAACCGACTGGAGGTTGATTTAATTAATATTGATGAACAGCCCTATTCTTAATCAGTTGAAGAAGTTACCAAACTGCTCCTGAGGTTCATGGATTGATAAAAGTAGCATTCAGAATCTAAGACGTGGTATGTCCTCATTGGTGCAGTTGATATTAGACGCATCAATATCTATTTCAGCTTTTAGAAATCATTTAAAAAGTAAAAAGTGAGGGGAAGGGACAAATGAATTGGAGGGAGAATCCGATGCGGATAGAAAGTAATAATCTAACTGCATCACACAGCAGAATAAAGCCAATGAAGGGAAACAGGCCCAAAGAATTTGTGGTTTAATGATGGGTGAAGGAACTCTAGCTCTACTGTATTGTACTAAGTGCGTGCCATCTCTCGTTCCCCTCCTTCATTTTGGGTATTATATAATACTATTGTACTATCAGCCAACGGCCAGTGGCCTCCCTCCTCAAGTTTGAAATACATGTATTCTATTCTATTCTAGTTTGAAAAGTCATTAGGGTTTGTTTGTTGAGTTTTATTATTATTATTATGATGGTTTAAAAATCAACAGAGCGACAGTAATGGTTAATGACTTAATGTAACCCGGCTCGCCAGTTGCCACCACATGAAGCAATAATAATGAATGAAACAATTTATGTTTACATTTTACATTTACATTGAGAAAGAGAGAGAGGAGCGGAGGACATGAAATTATAGATTGATTGGGAATGGGGACCTCGTAATAAAAGAACACCCATGTAAAAGGAGAAGGTAAGGCGCTCCCTCAGACCTCAGACCTCAGACCTCAGACCTCAGACCTCAGATCTCAGACCTCACACAGACAAGAGGGAGAGAGAGAGAGAGAGAGAGACAGGGGCATTGAATTGATGAAAGGAGAAACGGAGGAAGGTAAAAGTTAGGTCACGAGCAACGTCACCTCCCGTTAAAAACATCAAACGAGATTTTTAAGAGAGAGAGAGAGAGAGAGAGCACAAAGCTCCTATTGTTCAACGACCTACCATTATTCTTTCGTGGATTTCAGCGTAATTTTTCAAATTCCTTCATACGCGCGCGCTGAAATGCATGCTATCCCCATCCCCACTCCGCCCATATACATTCTATTCTTATATTTATACATCCTAAAATTCATTTTCTATGAAGTCCCAAATAAAAATAAAATAAAAAAGGTCGGTCGCTGGACGCTAGAGGCTTAGAGTAGATAGTGGCGGATTGGATTGATTTACTCTAATATATATCTGGATTCCCCTGCCCATATTTCGAGTTTTCGAATTCCCATCTGTTGTTGGTTGACGGCCTGGCCTGGCTCCATGATTCACTACTACTCTCTTTTGATCCAACACCTTTCAAATCCTTGCTTGCTTTTCCGCCTCCTAATTACTCAGATCCGTTGCCGTCTCCCTCTGTCAATACGTACCCTCCTTTCTCGAGCTTGATTTTCCCTGCGCTACCCCCATTTATATTCTATTCAGTCKGAATCGGATCTACTCCACCCAACTTGAAATTTTGAAAAGAGCAAGAGCCAAGACGAGAATTTCCCTCTGTTTCGTTGCAGAGTCAGAGTATAGTCTTCAAATGGCTTCCGATATTATCCTCTTCTTCTCCCTATGCTTTTTCTGTTTAACACTCTACGTGTAGATCTCTCCATGTCTGCTACGGGTCTACCATTGCCTTTTTGACGATTTTTAAGACAAAAGTTCTTAAAGCAGTTCCATCCATGAAAAGATAAGGCCCGTCGATCTATCTACTCACTTCACACGTTTTCGATTGAATCCAGATCCGGCCTTTGATTTTCTATTTTCTTCCAGGGGCGACTGAACAAAAAAAGGTTAGAATCCTAGGCAATCTAGATCCCAAACTAACAGAGTGTCTCAGAGCTTCGATGGAACAACTCCTCTTCCCCGTTTTCAATGCTACAGTATCTGTAAAGACAATCAACCGGGAGACGACGAGTTCCTTTCCCCCCTTTTAAATACATTCTTTATTCATTTTATCTACATGATCAGAAAAGATCTTGCTTTAACATGCGACTTGATCCTCATAAAAGAGAGCCAGAGGAACACATAAACACTGAACAACAAACAATGCCCAGTATGAATCTCCAGGAAACTCCCAAGTCTGAGACCACCACCAAGCAGAAGGAGCGACACATCGTTACATGGACACAGCAGGTTTCTTTTTCTTCTTCTTCTCCTCTCCTCCGCCTCCTCTGTTTTTCCTTTCCTTTTCTTTTTCTTAATTTTTACTTGCATGATTCTATCCCTTCTGCGTTTTCTTCTCTTCTAATTTCTCCATCTAATATAGAAAGTTCCTGAAATGCAGGAGGATGATATACTCCGGGAACAGATTAACCTCCATGGAACTGAAAAGTAGAGTTTCCTTCAATTCTGTCAATGCTTCTCTAATTATTGATGAAGAAAAGTGTTTTCCTTCTAGATGATTACAGTTTGCGGCTCAACATTAACCTTATTTTATTCATGTGTATGCAGCTGGGCGATTATTGCATCCAAGTTTAAGGACAAAACAACCAGACAGTGCAGGAGAAGGTTGATAATTAATGATACTTTTACTGTTTTACATCCCATTGTTGTTTGAATTCCAAAGTAAATTGTTTTTTTTTTTTTCGTTTTTCTTTACCACCTCAAGTTTAAGCTGATTTATATATGGATGATACTGCCCCAGATGGTACACTTACTTAAATTCCGAATGCAAGAAGGGAGGGTGGTCACCAGAGGAAGACATGATCTTATGCGAGGTATTTGTTGCTAAAGCTGTGCTTTATTAGTGTTTCTGTCTCTCAAAAGCATGACTTTTGGCCCTCTTTCCAAGGAGTTCTCAAACTCCGTTCACAGTTTGTCTCTCACTCTCTGGGAATAAGAGGTGTCTCAGTGTCTGAGTGGTATTTACATTCGGGAGCGACACTTTAACRAGTATTATGAGTTTATGACTGGTTTGCTTTTGCCATTTTTTTGCTCGTATCTCACAGCAACAACGTCCTCTGTTTCATAAAAGCAGGTTATCTGACCTTTCCTAGAAAAAATGCTAGAAATCCTCAAAGAGTTTTATCCTTTTATGGATGAGATAATCTTTACGTCGTACTTGAACTCCTTTGCGAGGATCTATCTCGCTCCCCCCATTCCCCAATCTCCAGAGTACATTGCGTTTTTGTATCTGTCGCTAATTTTTTGAAGTACTCTTGATCCAGTGTTCCGTTTGGTTTCACACCATGATTTTGCTGTTTAGATACCCAGTAGGTGGTTCGTTTTTAATTACTTTAATAGTCAATAGTCATCCAGGATCCAGCTAATATCAACAAGTTATTTTGGGCCTCTAACTTTAGAAACATGGATCTCTCTCTCTCTCTCTCTCTCTCTCTCTCTCTCTCTCTCTCTTTTCTTCTAAAAGAAACCTTATCGAAAACTGAAACTACGCCCTCGTCACTTTTGAGTTTTGAGGATGGCGATTTCCTGGCCGTCAGGCCCGTCACTGATGTTTGTTATCTAATTGTCCAAATGTAAGTGCAGGCTCAGAAGATATTCGGTAACAGATGGACTGAAATTTCGAAAGTGGTTTCAGGCAGGTAAACAAACTTACTTTATGGTGTACGATATTTTCCTTTTCCTCTTTAATACATCACTATCATCCGCTTTATATCTCTAATGGCATTGGAATACTTGAGTCGTTATTGCTCTCCTGGTGCAGAACGGATAATGCTGTAAAGAACCGGTTCTCCACCTTGTGCAAGAAAAGAGCTAAACACGAGGCTTTATCAAAGGAGAACAATGCTTCATACATCAACCCAAACAATAAGAGGATTATATTTCAGGATGGTCTTGATTTGGGCAACGAATCAGCTGATTCCACAGCTCCTTGTAAGAAGTTGAGGTACTGCAAAGATCAAGTGCTTCTTTGTAAATGACAACAGGGTCCAATGCTTTACATGTAACTCTCAAAGTTCATGTGATGTAGGACCTACATCTCAGATCTCTCAGAGAACAGCACCACCAAAAGAGGACTAACCAAGGAATGTGGAGTAACAAAGCTTCAGCAGATAAGACCTCCTTTTGCAGTATTGGTTCAAAACTTCCATAATGTTGACAACTTGCCACCTAAGCAACATGTCAGCAACAAGAACCAGGAACCCTGTAAATATGGTAATCTGCTTCTCAATACCTTTATGTCTTTTCATAAAATGAAAGAGCATCTAGGTAACATTTTTGCTCAAATTGGCCTGTAACTAAAAATGTAATACAGTGGATCGATGAGAACAGCAACATGGTTAAGAAGGGCATACAGCAGACAGCACTCATAATCTTTATCCTTAGATTTATTACCGCCATTAGTTGTTTCTTTTTCCAATATTGAAATATCATTATTTATGGAAAAAAAATTGACAATTCTCCTTTCTGATCCAGAAGTAGTTGGGAACAACAAGGCTCAAGGAACATTTCTTAGAAGGGATGATCCAAAGATCACTGCTTTGAAGCAACAAGCAGAACTACTCAGCTCACTTGCACTGAAAGTTAATACAGAGAACACCAACCAGAGTCTTGAAAATGCTTGGAAGGTGAGAATAAACTTAGTTTGCTAAATTTTCATTACAGATAATTCAAAGCTATTAGCATATCTTCTAATGATGTCAAGCTTCAAATTTAATATTCAGGAACTCCAAGATTTCTTAAATCAAACCAAAGAAGGTGATCTGAACCCACAAAAAATCTCTGAAATGGATTTTCTACTTGAAGATTTCAAGGACTTACTAGAGGACCTAAAGAGTAGTAACTTGGGAAGTGCGCCTTCTATGAGGTAATAAATATGCTGGTTTCAGATTGAAACAGGTCTACCGGTCACAGAGCATTCAACTGATGATTGTTTTATGGTATAGGCAACCTGATTTTTCTGAGTCCCCAGGGAGTTCTGAATACAGCACTGGGTCGACTGTCCAGTCCCATGCAAAAGGTGATAAAACTGAACAACCTCAAACTGAAATATGTTCACCAGACCAGTATGGTGGTGTTGGGCCAATGCCCATTCATAAAGAAATACAGAATAGTGGTCGAGGTTGTGAAGACGGAACCTGTTCAAGTATTACCCAAGGTAATCCATCTAGCAAATGTACCTCCTTTTTCTTCTTTTCCATTTATTATATTATCCCAAATTGGACATTAAAAGAATTGACTTTGCTAAATACATGCTTTGTACTTAAAATATTGATCTTACTCCAGCAGGAAAATTTCTCTCTTGCAATGAGCTGAAAGACAATGATGGAGTTGTTTTTACACTGGCACATAGTGAGTTCAGCTCACCTCTTCAAGTAACCCCACTATTCCAATCTTTGGCAGCTGGAATTCCAAGCCCAAAATTTTCAGAAAGTGTAAGTTGTTCTAATATTCTGATCTTTGGACTCTCATACAATAAAATGTGAAGGTTATGGCCTCTAAATACTGATGGTTCACAAATGGAATGGTAGATTCTCACATTTTCTTCTATGCATCTTTTTATTCACGATGAAATGAATAAACAAGCAAAGCATTTCTTTTTAAAAAAATGGTTCTCCACAAGAGAAGGAAAAAGGAAATCGGACAACCCCTATATAGCCATTGTACCAAACATTGTAGAAAGCACTATGTTCAATTTTGTGGATAGTCGGTTAAAACCATCACTGACTTGTCTCAAACAATGGAAAACATAGAACCTAAAAATCAATGCAGTGGTCACTGACTTGGACAGAAAAGAATTATGTTCAATTTTGTGGATAGTCAGTTTACTGTTCCAAAGGCCATAATCTCACTATTTCATATCTAGAATTTATTTTCTCTTTTCCCATGTATTCTGTTGCAAGACTAACTCATAATTTGCAATGCATTTTTCAGGAAAGGAACTTCCTACTAAAAACACTTGGTATTGGTTCTCCATCTCCCAACCCAAGCACTAACCCTTCCCAACCGCCACCCTGCAGAAGGGCACTACTCCATAGCCTTTGACCAATTTCTGTTCATGTCTACTTGCAGAAATTTGTGTCCTAGGAAATTCTAGCCCATCTTCACAATCTAATTCTCTGGAAATATTTTGTCTTGTCTCTTCAGTTCACTGTCCATGTCTCCCAGGCCTTTCCGACCCCTTTCTTTACCAAAAGGCCGTTGCAAGATCTGCACCTCAAAACTGTGATTTAGAATGTTTTAATACATTCTATTGCCAATCTGATCTTACAATGTGTTCTGCGAGGGTTATAGGCCTGAATACTCAAATTGAGTTCCAGTGTGTCTGTTGAATTGCTTGATTTTTGTCCGAGTCTTCTATAAGGTTGTGGTTGTTGGTATTCTGTTTTTTTTTTTTTTTTTTTGGGCAGTCCAGTTTTGGGTCTTCGATTTGCCATTTGTACATAGCATGCATTATACAACCTTAGTCTTTTTAAGAGTGTAATTACACATCGGTAATTTGGGCACCTCCCATACATTGTCTTAGAAAAAAAAAATAGTTAAAGAAAAAGAGAAAGGAAAGGAGGACCAACCAGTTGAAGTTGGAGTCCTATTGATTTGATTTTGGTGTGCATAGGATATAGAATAAAAGTTTCTTTTTTTTTCCTTCTTTCTTATTAAGCTGGGTTTTGTCATGGATGTAACTAGTTGATGTAACTTACTATATAATTGAAGAGGAGAACGTGATATTGGCTTTGTGTGTACGAATTTCCTGTATCCTATTTTCTTTTGCGGGATATTCTTTTACTTTTGATCAATATTTCTTTTCTTTTTTTCTGATATTTTAACGAACAAATCTATTAAAAAAATCGAGAAAATTCTCCATTACAAAAACACACAAGGAAGTGAGGAACACCATAAAATGGAGAAAGAGAGAATCTCATCAACACTGTAGTGATAGTTTCTTTTGCCCTTTCCTCATTAAAGAGAACGTCGAGTAAAAGAAAGAAAGGGAAAAGGTAAATTACTTACAGTCATCACCCAACGTTGTCTCTGTTCCGGTGCGAAGACACAGTCTCTCTTCCCTTCTCTCTCTCTCTCTCTCTCTCCCTCCCTCCCCGAGGACAGGTGATGTTTGTGGAAGAAGAAAGAGCTTCTGAGTCTATAACTTGGAACGCCAAAATTTTAGGCGCGCGAGGGAACTGGGACACCCATTCCATTTGGCTTTCTGTTTGAAGTCAAATGACATGTTTGCCACGGGATTCCAATAGGAGTACGATCAACCGTTGCCAAACTTGTAGACCCGGGGTAAAATAGTCATTAAATTCTCTGCCTCTTCGTTTCATTCCTGTTACAGTCGCATTACATTACCGGAACTTTGGGACTAATCACTAATGGTCCTAAAATCTTGGTTTCGGACATTCTGGATCCATGATACAACCTGAAATATTTGAAATTTCAGGATTTTGGATAGAATATTTAGGGTAAATTTCTCCAATCACATTATTCTATAWAAAAAAAAAGATTTCTCCAATAACATTTGTCCTAACTCCCATAAAAAAAATGCACCAAAGTTTGTTTATCCATCCTTTCCACAACCTCTACCTGAAACCAAAGATTAGAAAATTTTCCGATTTTTCTTGGCTATTTCTTTATTTTTGGAAGGCTGGTTATTTCTTTATTAAGGCCCATTTGAGAGGGTTAATATAAATAAGTGCTTATCCTAATAGGCGCTTATTAGTGTTTGGTGAAAAAGGTACTTCTTTCAAATGGGTAGTATTGATTATAAATATTTTGAAAATTACATGCTTATAGAAAAAAGTACTTGAAAATAAGCTAAAGATTTTGGCTTCTTCAAAAATTGGAATGGATTTATTTTTCATAATAAGCACTTGTTCATTTTTATACCAAATGCACATATAACCTAAAATAAGTGCTTAAAATAAGCACTCTCAAACGAAGGCAAAGAATTACGATTGATAATGGGAATCATGAGGATCATGAGGACGAGGAAGAGACGTTTTTTGGCCATTGGATTAGGATCCTCTCAACGCACAGTGAAAACCTAAGGCTCAGTTTGGAAGGAGTACAAATATAAGTATGTAGAGTACAAATACATACAAAATGTAAGGTTTTGCATTCTACTACTCCTTCCAATCTGAGCCTAATGAAATAAAAACATTTTAACTGTTAAAAGCATTAAAGGTTGGCAGTGGCAGACTGGCAGTAGGCTGGTTGGGTTGGTCGGGCTGGCATCTGACCTGCATGAGAATTCCAATTCTCGGACCAAATGAAGCTTGGGCTTCCCTTCAGTTCAGGTAATCTTTTCCAATAGCATGTTTCTGTGTGTATATGCGCGCACGATGCATGCGTGTTTGTGCATGTTCTCTAACGCCCGTGTGCTCCCATCCATTTGATACGCATGATTATATTTCTAGAATTAGAGGAATGAAAATGCAGTCTATGAAACATCTGTGCAAAGCAAATTGATTTTCTTCAAAGACAAGATTGATGGTGGTTTAACCATCCCACTTGAATAACAATGTGGAGTATTATTATTAAGCTCTTCAGAAACCTCTGGCAAATCAATGGCCTTCTTCATGGTGCTTAAGCATTGTATGTTTGTGAAGACTTTTGGAGTAATATAGTGGGACTCCAACCTCATTATAGCAGCTTCTAGGGCTTTCAGCCCCCAACTAAAATGATACAGTTATAAATGTGATCATGTGAGACCCTGGATTCTGGTACTGAAACCCATAATATGATTCATAAATTAATTGGCACTTCAGAAAATTCAATCATGCAGGTTATATAAATTTAACAACTGGAGACTAGTTTACATGTCAAAACTGCAACTTTACACCAAGTATATATCATGAGAGATCCATTCAAATTACATTGATTGATATCCCGATTAAACTACCTAAAATGAAGGGAACACTAACCTCAAGGCTTAGACCCATATTGTAACAAAAAGAAGATGAATGTGTTAAAAATAAGATATCTTTCGTCACATGGGTTTTTTCCTCTGTAGTCTCTGCAGCTTCCTCCACTTGAGGTAGATCTGATATGACAACCCAGAGAAAACCATGAAAACACTACCCCATTGCTTTTTTGAGAGAGGATTACCACTCAACAATGAAGACACCACGATGCTCACAAACTTGCGGGTTGTAGTAATGGTAGTATTTGCAAGTGAGCCAAAGCGGCTTATAGTTAGGAAAATGAAGTTCTGCCCCACTGCTCCACACAGACAGTAGACAAAGATGTCCCATGCAGCCTCAGGATGCTGCTTGCAGAATCGGATTGCTTCATATCCACTTCCATGTGGCCAACCAAACATGTATACCATGTTATATATGGTGCCCCATAGATTCATTCCCAGCATTATATCCCAAGCACTTGTCTTTGGATACCTATGTATGAGGATGCATTCTGGTTAGAAACATGTGCATCTAAGTTGCATTTATATATTCAGCAATGATGGATGTACATAGTAAACAAGACATGAAAATGCATGCATGAAAAACAAAATGGGCAGACTTTTGATTCTACAGATGACAAGAATATGTTGCTATTGCACGTAATACAGATTAGATTACGAAATTGGCTTGCCAATTTGGTTCCTATTAATACAGTTTCTCATTCTTTGTGCCTTTTCTTTTTCCACTTAACCTTTTTTAGCCTTTAACCCCCCCCCCCCCCTCCTGATATGTATGTGGCTTTCACAAAAATCCAGATCTCTAATTAGGTGTGAAGCACCAAAATTCAAGCCAGCAAAAAGAAAACTTAAAACCCTCGAATATACCCTATTGGCTTTGAGACTACATGTCTGACCAACAGCCAAAAGCAGGCAGTTAGTAAATGTTTCTATTACACAGCCAACTTGCTAATTAAAAGGCACAACGAGACCAAGGCATGGACCTTAGAGTGCTAATGAAAGATGACCAAGAGTACTGCAACTTTATATATTATGCCCTATAACTCCTTATCCCTTAATCAAAATGTGATTTTTTTTTTTGGAAAAGAAAGTTTAGATCTTTATTAGAAGGAACAAAAGGGCATTTACACCCAGGCATAATGACAACCTGTTGCATTCTTACTTATAATTGTGGAGTGATGGCATGGAAAGCCTAGGGGGAGAAGTATCTCTTCTCATGCAGTGTGCAATTTTGACAAAAGATCAGCTGCTCTATTTGCTTCATGTGGAGTATAGTAATTACATCTATAAACCTCATACCCTCAATTTCATAGAGTTCATGGAGCTTACCATGGCCATTCAGCATACCGAAATTGTGAATTTTGCTCTTATGAAAATGTAAATTTTGTTAAGACAGAATAAAGTGACCTTTTTCTGATAAATGTATAAAGTGACTTAAGACATTGTCCTTTTCATGGCATAGTCTCTTTATATATTCCTTAATTGTTAAGAATTATTTTTATATAAAGGCATACAACAACAAACTGGAAAAAAACAATATCAATAGATATTTCCAAATATGGAAATCGCAATTTTTTCCTGGTAATCCCGACATGAATTACAGAAATGGTAATTTTCTACAATGGACTAAAGTTACATAACTGAGATTATCAATGGAATTTTTAGCTAGCTCTTAAACTGTAATACCTTGCTGTTAGTGAATCCTGAGTTGCATTTGTGAATCCATCAAAAGCTAAGTTCAGGAAACAAAGACCATATCCAAGGGGTGCATTTGGACGGGCTAGCTTGCTTATGGTCTTTGAGCTAGTCTGTAACCGAGCAAAGATAAGTAATTGTTAGAATTAAAAATTAACAGAAATACCAATTTAACTTTTAAACTGGTTTAAATCAATCAGTGAACTATCTTGCTGGTGCCAAAAACATAAAACCAACAGCTGGTAAGGTGGATTCTATGACTATAACTCAATATAACAGTGCCTCACCTTTAAAAGTGCAAATGCAGATACCCCTCCAGCAACAAGGAGAGTGCATACATACTCAGGAAAAGTATATTTAATTCCATAAACAAGTGTTCCCATCAGCATCACTGCATAGAGGTCAAGCATCCACTATTAATAATAAGCATCATTACTCATAAAGTTCTTGATGTGATATGCATCTTTCAACCTGATCTACCAAAAACAGATGACTAGAATGCACTTGCGTGCAACAATGATTGGACGTGTCTAAATTTCAGAATTAGATCCAAATTGTGGATATTCTCAGTTGGGGCACATGAGGTGCTTGTATATGTCCTATATACCATGAATTGCACTGTATTAGCACGACAATAACAAATGGACACTGTTTACAAAAATCCCTTATTCTATTCTAGAACTCCTTTGCATTCTCTTATTTTTTAAGTATTTCATGTGAGGATCAGTTGGGGAATGGGTGGTGCTGGGTATATGTTCTATATACCAGGCATTGTACTGCATTAGTGTGACACTAAAAAATGGACACTTTTTACAAGAATCCCTTATCCTATTCTAGAACTCATTTGCATTCTCTTTTCTTAAAGTATTGCATGCAAGGATCACTGATCACTGAAGAATGTTGAGTAATCACCTGGAATCATTTTTGAGGATTTTGCAAGGACCTGCAGGTAGAATCAGGTAATAGAATGAGAAGATCAATTTCCATAATTAGAAAAAAACTTCACAAAATTATATTTCAGAAGAAAATTATTGGCCTAAAGGGTGGTTGGTTGACACTGCAGAAATTATGGGACTTACTCATGCATGGAAGACGTGATTAAGTAAAGGTTTCATAATTGCAATTATCATGACAAGCATTGACTTGTACTTCAATACTTTCCCAATCCCTAATAACACCAATTTAGCAAACTAGAACTGGATGGGAAAAATGTAGTGCTGCATCTGGCCTATGTCATCGGAGAATACAACTTAGGCTTAAAAGAAAATTTTATAAAATGGTTATAAGACCAGTAATGTTATATGGAGTATTGGATAGTCAATAAACAATGTGTCTAAAAAATGAGTGTAGCAGAAATGCAAACATTGAAATGGATGAGTGGGAAAACTAGAAACATAAAAAAAAGAACACATTTTTAGGAACTTAGGAGTAGCCCCAGTAGGTGACAAAATGAAGAAAAGTAGACCAAGATGGTTTAGTCACATGCAGAGAAGACCATCTACAGCGCTAGTGAGAAGTGCTCAATTGCAAGCAAGGTTCAAAATTTCGATATGATACACCCTGTATTGGGCATATTGTATCATATCATTGGGGTTCTGATACACCTGTTTACAGGTGTTTCGGGAACCCCCTTTTTGTAATAAAATTATAGTAAAAAGTAAGCCCAAAAACCAAAATTTGAAAAAAAAAAACAGCGAAGCGTGTGGTTTAAGTTCTGATACACCTCTGCCGATACACAGGGGCGTATCGATACTTTGAACCTTGATTGCAAGTCGAAGGGTCTAGAAGAAATTGAGGCAGACCAAAAAGGGTATGGGTTGATGCAGAGAGAAATGACTTGAGGGCCCATAATTTAACAATGGATATGACAATGAACACAGTGAAATGGTGGAACATGATTCATGTTAGTGAACCCCAAATAGTTGGGACAAGGCTTAGTTCTTGAGTTGAGTTGAGACCCTAAAGGCACAAAACAGAACCTGAACAGAGTTAACTACTTTAGGAGTCCACAACTCTATGCTGAAGAAACAATCCCATAGCAAGGTTCCAATCCATCTTCACCAAGTAACCCGGTAATGGTTCAGACTGTCCACAAGGGGCTATATTCCAAGTAGCACCAAAGTCGAATCAGATAAACAAGCGCAAGGTGTGGATTACAATTAATGAAGATTTGAACAGCAAGACTTCATAATTCATAATTGTCTTAAAATATAAGAAAGACAAAAAAAATGTAACCAAAAGCATATTTTTCTCCAAATATCACCAAATGTTAACATTAAACTATTAGCCTACTGAAAACTGCAGAAACAGATATTCTAGCTTCAAATCTTATTTAAACAAAAGAATACCTCAAGTGATGTACAAAACAACTTTTAAAAGTTTTAAGTGATGTTAATTCTTACAGTGCTTCCAAAGGAAACACAATTCTAATATGATGTCACAGCTGCAAATATACCAAGGATTTTAGGCGCCAAACCTTTTTTTCTAAATAAAGGCTATTGCTGGTGCTGTATCTTTCCATAAAACTAAGGATTCCTTAGTCTTATATATTAGGTTCAAAGTAAGGATTCCACAGCCACTTTCCTTAGTCTTATATATTAGTTTCCATAAAACTAAGGATTCCACAGCCATTTTCCGAGGAGGGCATTATTCTTCTCTTTTAGGTGTCCGATTCCCAACCCTCCAGCCTCTTTTCGCTTGCAAACCTGTTTCGAAAAGAGCAGGAAATCTGTCCTTTAGCAGGCCACCTTCACACCAGAAATCCTTCCAGAAGAGAACCCTTTGATAATTCCCAACCTCATACTTTATTCCTTTTAAGAACTGAGAATCAATTTTTTGAATTGCCTTCCATACTGAGCAACCATATGAGGATCTAGAATTCTCAGTCTCCCAATCTCTTGCTGTAGGACCATACTTTGCTGAAACTAGCTTCCTCCACAAACTGTTCAGCTGATCATTATACCTCCAAAGCCATTTCCCAAGCATTGCCATATTTACTTCCCTTAGTTTTCTAATGCCCAGACCTCCAACATTTTTGGGTCTTCTGACTGACTTCCACTTCACCAGATGGCATTTATTTTCCATATGTTTAGATATGACTTGGCATTTGAAATGTCAATGAACAAACAGACAAGTCTTAATTTATGTCCAATTGTACGGAAAAAAAAAGATAAATCCTAATTTGAGGAATTTTCTTACAACTATTCTTTATTTTGTTGTTTGCATCATGTATATCCTTTATGACGTTCAACTATTATTATTCTGAAACTTTGTGCACCATAATTCTCAATTTTATTTAATTTTTAATTAACAAAGCAAACGACTGCAAGGATTAAGCTTCATCCCTGAGGATTATGCTACATGTTCCTGGAGGTCCTACTAATGGCTTGTGTCATGTGTTGCTTGTGTTACTGTTATGGCTCCCTTAGATAAAAGACAGCCTCTTCAGAGAAAGAACCCAAGCTAGCCCACCTTATGTTCAGAACTAAAACAATTATAACTTTAGCAGCACAAAATTTACAACTGAAAGGCCAAGAAATTACCTGGGTACATCAAATTACCCAAGATAATATAAACATGTCAAAATTACACTAAAGTAACACAAATGAAGCACAAAATAGAAAAAATAGAAACACACAAAGCTCAAAAGAAAAGTTAAGCATGCCTGTGCTGGGTAACTGATGTACTTTAATGCTTCAATTCCCATAGCTGGACCAATTGTGTTGGTGATGCCAGCGCTCCAATAACTCCACCAGGGAGCATGACCAGCACTACTTCTGGACCAGAGCTTTATCACTATTTGACAAAGATGGCAGGAAAAATGTATGAAATATCTTCATTATCTTCTACTGAAACTAGCATGCTAGTACAAGGAAAAAACAATTAACCAGCTAAATCATATCAAGCAAGTGAAGATAAACTTACTTATAAATGACCAGAATAGGCAAACTACATTTTGAGCTAAGTTCAAGAATGAAAGATGTTCAAACCGTTTCCCATCTGGTCCAAACCGCTTGGTGGAACTGAAAACAGGATAAGATCATCTTAGTAAACTTGCTACATTTTCTATAAACTGACATTATACTGTAAAACCTTCTTTGGATCCCAAGGAGACAAGTAACTTGCTCCAAAGAAACATAAATAAGAGGTATACTAATACTGAACAAAGACTTAACCATAACACTTCATGGTGGCTAAATAAGGACTCCTCTACGTCCCAAAAACAGAAGAAACAAAAAGGTATTAAGTCTTAAGCTAATGCACCAAAACTCAAAAAAAAAAAAAAGAAAAAACGGAAAAACGAAACACTTTCCATATCTGAATAATTGGCATGGAACTCTGAAGCATTGGAAAGAAAAATAAAACCATCATATTCTTGTCAGCACAAAAAATAAAATAAAATAGGTGGGGAGCGGGGAAGAAGCCAATATATTGAACTGCTGCTAAATCACCAAAGCTGCAACCATTGTCATACAAAAAGGAATGAAACTATTTAGTTCCATCTACGTGGAATTATTAATTGGGTTCCATAGGCCTTGCGATTTCTCTTTTATATGAGTAGGATCATACATTTTCATTCCTTAAAAGCATAAATCGTCAATTTTCTTTCCTTATTAAATTAGTATTTTACTATAAAAAATCAACATATTTGCATTCCATTCCCTAGTAGTCTCACGATGCAAAACATGTCAATTGCCGAACAGAAAGATCTCCGAAATAAAAATGGGTCTGTAAAATTCTAAAGCACTAAACTCCCATGAATCCAAAGGAAAAGGTCAAAAGAAAAGGGCAAAAATTAAACAAAGATAATTAAATATAACTCTGGTACTCACACAGTTTCCTGAAGAACTCCTTGAGTTATATAAGCTGACCAAATTCCGGCTATGCATAAAACCAATACCAAAACACGGCCAACGCCGGGGACGTGACCTTCCATTGTGGTTTAAACCTCGGCTGTATGAATCCCGCGACGAACACTGGCCGGCTTTGTCTTCTGAAATGGTTAACGAGGAAAAAAAATGTGTATAGAAGAGAAGAAGCAGGTGGAAATCTCGAATCAACAAATAACGGCAACACCTAACCCATTCCGCGGGTGGTTTTATTTACAGCAGGCCATTTCGTAATTCGTGTCATTGATTTCGTCGTGTCTCCTTTCTATTGGATAACTGATATAGTTCTGTGTTCCTATTGGCTGCATTTCGGACAATCCACGTATACCCTTTTATTGTTCAAGGTTTCGAGGTATCAATTCTGGCCCGCTATCGGCCCGACCGGCCACCGGCTTTTTAGGTATACCGCATTCCGGCCGGGTTTGGGTTATTGAAAGGGAAAATTCAAAATTGATGAGATGAACATTGGACAATTCTAAGTTTTCTTTGGTTTGATCTGAGCACTGTCACTGAGCTGAGGAAAAGAAGCGAAAGTAAGGAGACCATCTACGCAATCCCATTCTTTCCTCCACAACCATGGGCGCTGCGGCTTGATCTCAGCAGCAATACACCGCCATCTCTTCTCTTCTTCATCCTGTTAGCTTCCCCTGTTCATCCGCTGGCTCAGGTGAATTTATGTTCATCGCCAGAATCACATCTACTCCCTTCTTTCAGATCCCATATGTTTTTTTTTTTATTTATTTATTTTCGTTGCATTGATTTGGTTTTCTGATCCCAAATCAATTAGGCAATTAATCAGCAATTTTCGTAACACCAGTGCTCAACAGTGTCGTTTCATTGATTTGATTTGATTTGATTTGTTTGACCTGATTGTGCTCAACAGTGTCTCTTCTTTCTCGGTCGTTTTTACCTTAGTACTTATTCTACCTCACATTAGGGATGTATAATGGTGGTTTTCTGCTGCTGGCTGCACTGATATATTAATAATGGTTTGTTAACACCAAATGCTTGTTATAGTGCTTCAGAGAGACTATCAAGGGAAGACGTCAAATAGAACCTGCCTATTCGTTCCTACCTTACCCTTCCACTAGACTAAAAACCTGCTTCACATTGTCCGTAATTCTGCTATTTTCAATATAAAAAATGAAAATTTATGGTTTCTTCCTGTACGTATCTGTTGGCTTCAAGTGCAACAATGTCCCTTCAACACATTCTGTTCATATATTTTCTATTCATGATATGATATCATAACCTGCAGTTAATTATCTTGATAGAATGTTAAGCAAATTGGCAACATGTATGATTTTCTTCACACACATGTGAAGAAAATGATTATAATATCATTTTCATTTTTTTTGTTTGTTCCTTTACATCCCACGTAATTCATGACTTGTCTGAAAGAACTGTAACATGAGCCACTCCAAAAAAGTGTGATGACACCCTTTCCAGTTGCATATTACATATGATAAGTGACTTTGTTTATAAGGATGATGAACAGGGTCATAGTGTCAGTTCTTGGCTTCTTGCTCTGTTTATCTCATGTATTTCATATTAGTCTGACAAGTGCCAGAGTGGGTTCGAGTTTGAGAGTGGCTACCTTGTGCAGATAAATAAATAAAGCTAGAAGGTCCAGTCCACCCCCTCCCAAGACCCCCGATTGCCAGGATCAATAGGGCAATGGACCTTGTTTTCAAGGGACTCTCATGAACTATTCCCAGAAAATTGTGGTGTGTCTGACAGCCTCTTGACTTGTGGCATGTTGCATATAATATGAGCTTAATTTATATGTATTTTTTATCAATCCCCTCTTTGTTTTCCCATGTTTTGCACAAAGATTCTTTCAAGTGTCTCCATTCCTGAGCCTATCTCACAATTAGGAGCACGATCCTAATTAATTTGAGCAGATATGGTACTTACACAGCCCAACCCCAATTTGATACAGTCAAACCTGAATTTTTGCATGCATTGGACTATGATTTTGAGGCTTTGTGCTGCACCAGGGCTTTTCCCTAGGTCATACCAGTTAGCAACTAATGAAGGATTAAATGCAAAATTAAATGCGAGTTGATGAAACTAATGAAGGATTAAATGCAAAATTAATCTTAGGGAAATGCCCTAGAAGGAAGAGGCTTTAAAATGAGTAGGACTAAAACAGGGTATATGATATGTAAATTTAGTAATAATAGGAGTGTAAATCAGGATACACTTAGGATTGGAAACCAAGAGATAACTCAATGTGACCGTTTACGGTACCTTGGTTCAATAGCTCATAACAAGGGAGAGATTGAGGAGGATGTCACCTAGAGAATTAGAGCAGGTTGGGCAAAATGGAGGGGTGCATCTGGACTTTTGTGTGATAGGAGAACACCACTTAGGTTAAAAGTACAATTCTATAAAACAATTGTAAGGCCAACTGTGTTGTATTGAGCAAGGCGTTGGGTAATCAAGAAACATGTTCAGAAAATGAGTGATAGAAATGTGGATGCTAAGATGGATGAGTGGAAAAACTAGAAAGGATAGGATTAGAAATGAATCCATCCATAGAAACCTAAGAGTAGTTCCAATAAGTCAAAATGAGAGAAAGCTAAGATGGTTTGGTCACGTGCATAGAAGACCACCAACAGCTTCAGTTAGAAGAAGTGATTTATTACAAGTGGAAGGGGCTGGAAGAGCTAGGGGTAGACCAAAAAGGACATGGGTAGAAGTAGTAAGAAATGATTTAAGAATTAATAATTTAACAGTGGATATGGTTTTAAATAGAACAGATTGGCGAAACAGGATTCATGTAGCTGACCCCATATAGTTGGGATAAGGCATGGATGATGATGATGATGATGATGATGATGATGATGATGATGATGATATCACTTGGCAACTGATATTAGAGAATCTGATTGTCTTTTATTTTGGTAGTCATAAAGAATCTAACTCAGTTTTGAAAAACTTAAAGTAGCAGAAAGTAATGCAAATTTGCAACCAGCTCTGTTGCCAAATTGGGTTGAAATGAAATATGAATTGGGGCACCGGCAGTAGCAAAAAATGCACTTGAAATCAGATTTAATGCCAAACCACAAGCCATGGGACCCAAATCTCCACTACAACTAGCCAGAAAACTTACCGACTGAACCACCAACCTCAAGGCCCCTCCATAAAATGTGAACATGCCAGTGTTTGAAAGAAAAAAAATGAAACATCACATCAATTGGTGTTTGATTTAAAACACTGGTGTGTTCACATTTCATTGGTAGTTGCATGTGACAACGATTGCAGGAAATCTTTTCACTTCAGAAACCTCTCTCTCTCTCTCTCTCTCTCACTCACTCAAGTTGGATCTGGATAATTGCCTGAGTCCAAGACTCCAAGGCACAAGCTTCAGAGATTCAGATGAGGGTGTCGATTTGCTACATGGGTTTGGATGTTTGATCTGTGGTTGACCTAACCTAACCCAGTCTATGTTATGATTTCTTTCTTGTTCTGGTCTTAGAAGAATGTAGTTCATTACTAGTGATATACTGTGACAACTTGTTTTCAGAGTTTGAACGACTGACAGAAATCTTCAAAGGCCAATGGTTTCTCTGTAATTACTTTGTTTATTTGAAAGATCTCTACCAGGTAATTTGGAATCACATTTTTAGTTTTCTAATTTTTTTAAGAGCATTAAAGAGCGACTCCATTGTTGAAGTGTCTATTATTGGTCTGCATGATCCGTTTATTCCCTCTATCAATTAGTTGTTCCAATTGGTTCCATTACTTGGGCTTTGTTTGTATCTTCTCTTTTTTACTTAGATGTTTTGAATATCTTTTTCATATATATTACTTCTCTTAATTCAAGTTGCGCACATGCATTTCACAATCTAGGTTGTGCATATTTTGTATTTTCAAAGCTTCAGATTGTCTTGTGGATTTGGAAGGTTTTAGAAAATTTTGACCTGGCAATCCTTCATTCTGTTTTTCAATTTTCTTTGGTTTGAAAATGTTTATCTCTGACATGGTTTGGTGGATTAAAATATAAAACCTTAGATTCTTAATGATTTTAAGGAGGCCCATCAGTTTTTAAATTTTCTTCTTCACCTGTTGTTCACTCTGAATATGTTTGAAAATTGAGACTGCTGAGGGACTTTCTGAATGTGGTACTCTTTGTAGATTGCTGAGGGACTTTCTTGCTTCCCTCTTTTCCATGAATTCCTCTCTGCAGATTCTGATGATGTTTGAGAATTGAACTGATCTGGAGAAGAAGCCTAGCAAAATGGTGTTGGTCTTAGCCCTAGGGGATCTTCATATCCCTCACAGGGCACCTGATCTGCCTGCAAAATTCAAGTCTATGCTTGTCCCTGGCAAAATACAGCACATAATATGCACTGGAAATCTTTGTATCAAAGTATGTGCTCTTTGTGACTCTTCTTTTTTCTTTTGGTTTCCTTTTAGTGTATATATATTCACTTTGGTTTTGGTATTCCTTGTGTTCTTCATCAATTAATTTGCTCCTTTTTCTGGTATATTAGAGTGAGTGAATTCTCCTTAATAATGAGATGCAGTAAACTGGTTCTGGAATTATTGCTTTGATTGGTTATCTCATATGAATCAACAACCTTGTGATGAGTTAGAGTCTGGAAACATAGGAATCTCCTGTTACTGCATACAACCTGGTCATTCACTCTTTTAGTACCAGGATTTGAAACATCAGCAATAACTAGGGTGCAGTACTGGACTTTGATTGTTATTGCTATGGTAGTAATAATGCATTTAGAACAGTTAAGTATTTATTCATAATTTTTGCTAATTTTATAATTCTAACATATTATTAATTAGGAATACATTGTTTTAAAAATGCATTCCTCAAGAATGGAGGAATTCTTGAGGAATTCTAACATATTCTAACATTTAGAATATGACATGTGTCTAGGGGTCTGATTCAACAAGATGAAAAAGAATAAAAAAGACTTGGGGACACATCACTATTAAAACATTTCCACAATGTGTGAATCTCATCATCACTATACTTATAGAAGATAGCATAATTAAATATAAACCCTAATGCTTTTCACCTCAAAACATTCTATAAAATAAGGTGAAATTTGTATTATATATTAGATCTTCATTTATATCAAAGAACCAAGGAAAAATAGGAAAACCATATCTTCCCTCAGGAATCTGAGTGTTGGAATCTGACACATGCCCAAACACAGATCATCATTGTCATCATCATCATCCAAGCCTTATCCCAACTATATGGGGTCAGCTACATGAATCCTTTTTCACCATTCTGTTCTGTTTACACACATGCCCAAACGCAGATGCTTTGTTAAATGAGGACAGTGCATGTAACACTGATTAATGTATTACTGAAACGATACTAAAATGCTAATGGGCTGAAAATAACCAGAAGACAACCATTCTGATTTGAATGGAAATCATTGTTTATGTAGTGTATTTGTGTGGTTATGTCTTGTTCCTGGATGGTTATATGGTTTCATCTTTGGCTGAATCATAAGGGTTGCATGGTTATGATCACTTTATCACAATGAGATTTTGACATGGATGTACCATGTAGGATCATCGTTTTTTTTTTGTATTTTCTTCTTGCATCTGTGCCAAATTTATATATGATGGCCTGATTTGAATTGTACAAGTTTGACTCTATCTCTCCTGCAACCATCTTGTTCAGTCAGATATTAAATGACTTCTTACTCAGATCTGTTTGTTAGAATACTGCAATAGATGATTCTTTTCCAGGATTCTGTTTATTGGACTCCACTAGGATTTAGTGTCCATCTCATATATGAATGTTGCTCTCTATTCTCCAAAGCTAGGCATTCTCTGACTTGTTTCATCTCTTAAAGTTCATTGTTTCCAGAGATATATGGTCTTTGCCTTTTTTTCTTCATTGTTCTCTTAAATTAATGTTGAGGCAAAATTATTATCTATTAGGGGGTGCTCAAGTTGTTTATCTCTGTAGTCTGTACATTTTAAATATGTTTGGAATTAAATCATTACACCTTATAATAGGAAAAATGTCAAACTCCCTATCTTTTGATGTAATACTATTTCTGCCTGACTAAACCATGTATATTACTGTCTATTCAGTAATGGTGTTGTGATGCTTTAAGCAGGAAGTACATGACTACTTGAAGAGTCTTTGCCCTGATATGCATGTCACTCGAGGTGAATATGATGAAGATGCACGTTATCCAGAGACAAAAACACTTACCATTGGTCAATTCAAGCTTGGGCTATGCCATGGTCATCAGGTTTAGTGATCCTTTTGTCTCTATGTCAACATGTCCTCTTTGTCCAGTTATTCTTTGCATATTTGTGTAATTATATGAAATTCTCAAAGAATCTCTGGGAAATTGTGATTATAATCTTTGATAACATCAATGCTAGAAAAACTATACATTCTTCTGGTGAAAGTTTACTCAAATACCTTAACTGCAGACCTACCATTACCTAAAGTGTCCAACCAATGTGTCTATAGGTTTGACAAGTAACAGATATTATCAGGATCCTGTGGAAATGATAGACATATATGGACCAGAATGAATATGTAACCTTCTTTAAATAAGTTAGGAATAAACTGGTGGGGGGACAACAAACAAGCTTGAAGGTAAATTACAACATTAGGGAACACACAACCAACCTATCCCTTAAGTATTATTCCATGATGATGATCAGATGATCAGAAAAAGTAATTCATAATTTTATTAATTTGTAAGGTGACTCATTAAGGACTGAAATATTGGCTGTCTTGAAGGGAATCCAAAAAGATAAGGAGCTGAATATCAGTAAGCTCAATCAAAGGGGATTCAAAGCTAGTTATAAGTTGGCTTCAAAAGGAAGAGGAGATTGGATGGCGTGGCTTTTACAAGGAATGGAAGTGACTTTTCAATGGGTGAAAAGAGATGCTAAGAGAGTTTAGCCAAACAAGGGGTGGGAAGGAATCGGCTGTTTTGGACATTGTTGTAATCTGTATCCACTTTGGGAGAGATAAGAGAGTTTAGCTCTCCCCTTCTTCATCTATGTACCTCTTTCTGTTTTATTGATCTTAATGAATCTGATTCTGTTATTGATAAAAAAAATTATTAATTTGTAAGTTGAGATACTCCAAACATTCAAGGACAGGAATGCAGGAGACAAAATAATACCTGGCTGGCCACTCATGTATTCGTGTCTCTATTTTTCTCTGTTTGGATGCAATATTGTCTTCTGTCCTTGTACAGAAAAGAAAAAGATCTATGATAATTTATTTTTTCTGATAATTGTCTTGGATTCTAACTTCATTAAGGTACATTTTTAGTTTAAAAACTGAGCTAGTTTCATGGGTTCTATGGCCATGTGCCTTTTACATCACAATCCACAGAAGCACAAAATGTAAAACAGGGATTTTTGTGCCTATGTACAGGGTTAAAGTTGTGCTAGGTATTATCCTTTTGTAGTTTGAGGCCTCCATGCTGCTCACTTCTGTTATATTAGCATCAACCTTACCAACATTAACACAAGGAAAATGGATAAGCAAGTAAAAGAGAAGAAATGTTTATAAAAAGGTAGAACAGCTTGCTAGGTTCTGTTTGAGGAGGGAAGCATCAGGACAGAGCTCTTAGGAAACACTAGTGACTCTTAATGTTTAGGAATTTCATTAATGATTTACTATCAATTCCATGCTCCATTGTAATTTTCATAAAATGCTCCCATTTACAGCCCTGTGATCCCAAGGTTTATTGTCCATCTCTATCCCCAAAATTATTGAATTTTCCTAGTTATTGCTTCTGGAAGTACATGGCATTCATCTTTGATTTTAAATATACTCTTTTTGTTCGTTGGTTGTTTTCTGTTTGGCAATCTATAGGTTATCCCATGGGGGGACCTGGATTCTCTAGCTATGCTCCAGAGGCAATTGGATGTGGACATCCTCGTGACTGGTCATACACATCAGTTCAAGGCCTACAAACATGAAGGTGGCGTTGTTATAAACCCAGGATCTGCAACTGGTGCCTACAGCAGCATCACCTATGATGTCAACCCTAGCTTTGTTCTCATGGACATCGATGCCCTTCGTGTTGTTGTCTATGTTTATGAACTCATCGATGGAGAGGTGAAGGTTGACAAGATTGACTTCAAAAAGACGGCAACAGCTCACTCTGCACACTGAAGGAAGCTCTTTTTGGTAGTACTAGGTGTTTGTTCTTCTGCTACTCTTTAAAATCAAATCCATGTATTGTGTTTGTGATGCCATACGCTTTGATTTTATACCAAATTCAGGGATGTTGAACCAGGTGAGGAGAATTCAATTGGACATTTATAGCTTTATGCACTAATAATTGCTTGTTCTAATTATATATAAGGCTTTTTTAACAGAGACAATATGACATTTGATCACCACTCTTTAGCTTACTACTTGTAAGTTCTTCAGTATAATAGTAAAATCTATGAACTCTATATTCATTGGAGTTAGGTTTATCCCATGTAGCCCTACAACCACTCTAAAAAGTAATCATTACAGTTTCAGATTTCAGATTTCAATGTACAAAATGGCCTTCAATGTGAGATCACATCTGCGCCCCACAGAAGGCACCCCACGAACACCCCATATATACATCTCAGCATGCATTCGAAACATCTCCCAAAATTGTCAGTGGGAGATGTTCCCAACACATGGTTGAGATATGCTGTGGGGCACCTTATGTGGGGCGCAGATGTTCCCAATACATGCTGAGATGTATAAGTGGGGTGTTTGTGGGGCACCTTCTATAGGGTGCAGATGCGATCTCTTCAATGTAATGTATCACATAGAGCACGCTTGTCACACAGTGAACAGTTTGCTGAAAAATGCTGCCATAGCCGCGGCCAATGATGGTGGGTTCGGAGCTGCTGCTGCGTCTTCGTCACTCGTCAGCCATTGATGCGTTGGAAACGGTGAAAGAAACTGGATGGCGTGGGTTCTACCATGCATTGTACCATCTGTTTCAAAGGAGTTCAAATCATTGTACCATTTGAACTCGTTTCAGTCGCAGGTCACTCGCATGCCTGAGGTTGAATTGCTCAATGATCGAAGAAAAGCAATGTGTCTTTGTGTTGTTTTGAGATGCCAAGAGTTTGATTAGTTAATATTATTTTTCTTCTCCTACAATTTTTATGGTGTATTTTGAAAAAGCGTTAAGTTGATGATAATGGAACCCACAGAGATTGAGAATGGTTGTGGGGCCCATGTGCGAAGTATAAGAGATGGTATTATAACACAAGTTTGTGACAATGTTGTATATATGTGAAGTAATAATATTATTGCCCCATCTAACTTACATGATTAGCACTAACATGAAGTTAAATATTAATTTTTGTGTGTAAGATTGTTTGGTTGATCTATTACAAGCATTTACATTTTCTATGAGTGTAAATTTTGCTTTAATTCATTTTATCATAAAGATCTGAATCTTAAGGTTTACAGTGCAACTTCAAAATGTATTATTTTGTCTATAAGCTTAGTTTCTTAACTTTATTTAATGATTTGAAATAAGATAATAATTATAAAAAAAATGTGTCAAATTCTATTATCATTTCATAAAATATCATTCTATATTTTTGCATATTTTGCAAATTTTCCACATGTTTGTTATATTTGGACAACATATTTTCCACTGATACCAACATTTTAAACCTTGCTTGAATTTGAGCTCAAGTATGGTAGGAACAATATTTTGCTTCACCATGTCTGTAATTTTTACAATATTTTCAAGATGTTTGTCATATTTGGACAACAGATTTTCCACTGATACCAACATTTTAAACCTTGCTTGAATTCTCTTTTTGATGGAAAAACCTTGCTTGAATTCGAGTTCAAGTATGGTAGGAATAATATTTTGCTTCAAATTTCCAAGTGGCTATGGGTGAATTGGTTGGCATAAAAGGATGGATTTGATGGTAGGAAAGTAAATGAGATCCTGATTGTAGAGAGAGAGAAACTAATATTTATATAAGAACTCAAGCTTATTTCATCCTTCACTCTGTTATTCCTGAGGTCATGATGTTGAAATTAGTATTTACTATTTACTAAGAACGTAAAGGTGATTGTATAGGATTTCTAACTTTTACAAACATTAATGTAATTCTCAGTTACAAAGAATACAGTAGAAATTTATTCAATTATTTTCTATCTAGGTCATGCTTTCTTGATCATTCATTTCTCAAGAATGAATTCCTGGATTTCAATTCCTGTATGCCGGGCCCCACCCTGTACTCTCAACATAACTTTATCTCCAACTTTGAGTGAGGTAACAGGAATTGCTGTCTTTGTTGGTTCGCTTCCTGTAGGGGGAACAAGGAAGACGCGCATCAAATCTGTAAGAGGTAAAGGCATGCAATTCTGTATAAAGTGGTCTTTAATAATTAGAATATACCTTGGAATGGACATACTAAGCCAACTGTTTCTGCATTCTGTAAAAGGATGCTGTAGACAGTTTGACCATCTGAATCATTCTGCAATAGTCCAAGTATCCTAAAGAAGTTTGTTATCGGCATCAACAACTCATCAATAATTGAAAATAGAAACAAGCACAGAAGAATTGTGCTGCATTCTGTCGATGCTCAGCACTATGTATTACTGCACCACCACCACCACCACCATCATCATCATCATCATCGTGGCCTTGTCCCGACAATTTTTGTGTTTTTTAACTTCTATGGCATTAAGAGGTTAGGCAATCATGGATTGTTTTCCACTTTTCCAATCACATATAATTGGAATAGTCTGAGAAGATGGTGGCTTTCTTTAACTAATAATTGATATCTTCCATGCCTAGTCAATTGAGTTTAGTTCTTTGTTAGTATGGATACAAATATTACTTTTTTCTAATTAATAAAGGCTACAACAGAAATTATTAAGATAATCGAAAATCTGATGCAGATAAACATGGAAAAAGATAGAACATACACTAATGGTGTACACAGACATAATGCTTGAAAGGATTGATACAGCATTAGTGATCAAACACTAGAGATAATTTTTTCTCAAAAGATCTTGTGACCATGTAGATAAAAACTCATGGATTCATTCCTAATTCAATATTCCATGACAGAAATCAATATGAGAGCCCATATATGCTCCAAACTTTTGGCACTTTAATGCATTCATATTTGACCAATATGGCCATAGTTCAAAAATATGCAGAATTGCAAACCTTTGCCTCCAAAAGAATGAGAGGCCTTGTCTCTATCTTTACACGCCCAACAATTGCTGTTCTTTGAAGGCCACTCTGATCAACCACAATAACCTCTTTACCTGTCTGCAACTCTGAAAGATAGCAAGTCTTTCCTCCTGGAATGGCAATGTAAGCATGTATTGGACCCTGTGAAAGTTCATTAGTATGCCCAGGTGAGGCATCCAAACTAAGGTTGGGCTTGGACAAGGCAAATAAATGAAAGACAGAACAATGTGATGGAAGTAAAACTGTTAGATTTTCTCCTATAGTTGCAGAAGGAACTGGGTAAAATTATAGTGAATCAGCTGAGATGGACTGAAATGTTACTAGGATTTGTTCTAAAAACTGATGAAACTGTACCAAGTGAAATCAGGTAATTCTAAGTTTTACAATGAAAGTGGCAGTCCAGATTGTTGGAGTCACTTTAATACTCACTGCATTTACTCGGAAAGGCCTGGTAGCAATATAATTTGATTCCAAGCATTCTGAGTGAACAAGGAAAAGCCCCCTAGCGAATGACCCAACCTATAAGACATTTTTTGTAATGAGAATCAGAATATGCACATGACAGCTCAAATAAATATATGGTTAGGAGTTCGGACCACAAGAGAACTAAGAAGAAGAGGGACCAGACCAGAAGTCCTTCGCCAGGCCTCATGAGGCTACAAAGATCCACACATACACGATCACCCATTCCAGCTGCTTGAATTCGTGTTATGGTGACCTTGGTCAAGTTCAACAAATTCCTTACTTCATTTCTTCTGTCAAAATAGGCCTGATAATATTAAGCACAATGAGAACTAATCCTTGACTGCAGTTCAAAGCCCAATTCGACAAAAGAAATTACCTTTAGTTCAAGAACAGATCCAAAATCCTCAACTTTTAAAACAACTCCACCCAAACCATGTTCCAGAGCCTAAAAACATAACAAGATACAAATTCACAGGGTACATCTTAAAATTATGGTGACAAGTTAAAAGGATTAAACCATTAGATGAAAATTATGTTGGCATTCTTTTACTGGTAGAGATCCTAGGATATGTTGAAGTTACCTCAAGGAAAGTTTGTGCTTCAGAGGGAGTTTTTGAGATTGCAAAGACCGTTTTCTGACTGCCTTGGAATGCTGCAACAATATTCTCTGCAGGTATGACCTGAAATGCATAACCAATGGCTGAACAACAAGCTATTATAAAGAACGAAGGAGAAAACAAAGATACAACTGAAAATCCCATATCAACAACTTTTTGAACTTTAACAGTGCTGCCAGTTCTGTAAATCTCTAACTGGAATAATCTAATTGCAGACTTTAGGCTCAGTTTGGGAAGAGTACAAATACAAATATGTACTGTGCAAATACAAGGTATAGAAATACCAATTACAAGGTTTTGCACTGTGCATATTTGTATTTGCACTCTTTCCAAACTGAGCCTTAGGAACAATACTATGAATGGTACCATCCTAATGGTCACAGGATGTTCATCTGGTTTAGTAGAGTGAACAGAATTGGTCAATGGCCAGGTTTTGGATTTAGTACCAGCCTTGCCATCTTGGTAACCTTGGTAGAAGAGAAATTGACAATATTTTGATAATAAAGGTATCTCTCGCTATTATGGTTATTGATTTCAAAATATCAAGTGTAATGATGACTATGAGCAACTACAGCATATGAGCATATCAGCTGTATATTGTGCATAAGGTAAATAACAGTTGAAAATTGTCACCAAATGGATGAAGTACAACTGTTGGTTCATAAGACATGATGCATTGATGCTGATGGTGCTTCACATGGAAATCCTAGAAATTGTGCTATCATGGAATCTACCCATGATAATAAATATGGTATAGCGACCATTATCTGGCCAGGATTCATGGCAATGATAGACAGGGCTCAATTTTGTAAGTCTAGGTAGATATACAAATCCAATTTAGATAGGCATTCCATTGTTCTAATGGAGTCAAAGAACAATAGAATTATAGAAAGGACCACAATTGGAAACTCATACAACGGTGAGATGAGTTACTGTATCATATAATGAAGAATTGCATGGAAGTGCAACACACATACAGGAGGAACAATTTGGTTGCTGACAGTTAAGCAAATTTTGGTTGTGAGATCCAGGAATTCAGGTTATATAGTTGCTTGAAGCTATCAAAAGTCATATACTCATAGACAAAGTAAATCCAAGCAAGATTGCATATAATTTGAGGACTTAAGAGAGTTATTATGTTAAAGGATGGGAATTGTGGGGTATGATCTTAATGTACTAAAATAATTCCTGTGATCCCCCCTTGTATTCAGGTTTTTTCTCAGGGAAGGGCCTTTACTTCCAAACTTAACCATGTGAATCTTTAAGTAAAGATATTAATGCGGAGTAGAACCCAGATGACAAGAAAAGCAAGATAAAGTTAGTCCAGTTGAATGAGTTTAACTGATTCTACAATAAATCAATTGAAAGACATAAATCTAAAGTATATTACATTGAGCTTACCTGCCAGTCTGGCAAATGTACAACTATGTTCTCTGTCAGTTCATCTGCTGGTTGAAGCTCTTGTAGTTGTTGAGGTGAAGAAACCTCAGAAAGTGTGGCAACTCTTCTATTCTCACCATCCAAAAGCATGCCATTTTCAATGAATAGAGGATATATTAATGCTATTGCTGCATACTCACAAAATCATGAGTCAGAAACGTGAGTATGATGGATGAAAACAGAACCATATCTACAAACGCATCAACTCATCATTTATTCCACAACATTGACCACTACTTGGATGTAACATATCACAAAACCAGACCAAGCAAACAGATCCACCACCCATACAGCGTACATCTGTACGACAAATACAATAAGTTTACCATTTCTTTTAACATCCAAGTACTAAGGTCAAATGCCCCAATTAGTCTAATATTGATCAACAATAAATACAAGAGGTGATGCCCTTTTTGAATAGAATAAAGAGCAAGAGTAGGCAGCACAAAGAAGGATATATACATGATAACTGATCTTTTTTTTTCTTTTTCTAGCAAAAATTTAGTCTTTAAACGCTGTACACTGTAACCACATCTAACGAATGAGTGAGGGAATCAACATAACAGACATCTTAGGGGCTTTGCTAACTATGAAGCAATAGAATGCCCATCTAATGACAAAAAGACATCAAAAACACAGATGCGAGGCCAAAAACAAAATGAGAGAAAAATAATAATAATAATAATGGGAAAACGTAATAACAATAACACAGATAGAAGATCCCGTAAAATCTTACACGACCACTCGTCGGCGAGTGCTCTATCGGAAGATGAGAAAATGAAGGTATTCCAGCCTCTCTCGACTGCAGTTGTCATAACTTGCTTGCTTTCGGTCCATATCCAGACCTGCTTGGATTGCTGATAAGTCTGGGGAGTTGGAGAAGTAGACATTGTAATACTGGATTCTATATGCAACTTTACCCCTTTACGACTGCCATTCATAAAAATGGCGGAGAAGACCCATTTACACTTATCTCCTACAGATATTACAAAATAGGAAAATAATTATTTGATTCATGAATAGAAATGGGTTTATGATTAGAATTTAGAAGAAGTAAGATAAGAAAAAAAAAAAGAGGAAGAACCAGCGTTTGACCTCCTAGTTAGTTGGGAACTTGGGGAAGAACCTGATTTGGTAGTAAACGGCGGGAATGGGTTGAGGATTCCGAGCAAGGAATTGGAAGAAAACAGGGCCATGTCTCGGTATCGACTATCGACGACCTGGACTGGGTTCTCTTCTCAGTTTCTCACTCAAGGCAAGGGAATGTTAACATGTGATTTGTGAATTGCCACAGGCTCAGGCTGTTTGTCCATGAGAACTTGGTAGCCGTTAATCTGGGATGTGTTTAGCAACTGAAAGGGAAGAGGGACTTCCAGATCCGTTTAGGAAGGGCAGTGTTGGCTTTCGACTTCGTTCGTGGAGTGCTAGGCATCACAAAAAGGAGGAAGATTGCGAGGAGATGAATTGGGCACTTAATTATTTGGGTAAAAGTAAAACACAAAAAACTACTCTGAAGTTTCTGACAATATTAAAACCTCTCCTATATAGTTTTACCTTAACAAAAAAACTCCCCTGAATTTTTAAAGAAATCAACAAAAATCCCCCTTAAGTGAATGACCGGACAGAAAACGTTAGACGATGCATCAATTTTCTCCAAATTTCCATTTTACCCTTTCGGAAATTAGTTTGCATATGTTTTTACTAAAATACCCCCATCGACCTGTTATCCTCTTTTCTTATCCAATTCCATTGTCTGAAGAGAGGGAACGCAACTCTTTCAATCTTTCATCCAAACTCCATCAAAAGCACCTTTTGATCTTTCATCTCGATCTCGATAGCAATTATCAAGGCATTCTGCTCTAACTCGCTCCTTAGGACAAGCACTGTGTTCTCTTGTAATTCCTGTTTTGTGCCCTGTGCAGAGATGCATAAACGGCTGGTGCATGCATAATGAACTCTAGCGAGGGATTTGTTCTGCTTTGCATTGGAGATTAGTTAGAGCGTGCCATCGGCATCAGTGCAGCAGTAGGGTGGTAGTTGGGAGGAATGAGACTATTTCAATGGTTGTGGGGGAGTTGGGTCTCCAGCTTGTCCAACTCAGAATAGAGATTGAAGGGGGTTCTTCCAGCCTTTTGTCTTGTTGCTTTTTAATGGTTTTGGGAAAGATTCTTGGACCTAATGGTTATCAGGCTTGTGGCAAACACATGGGCTGGTTTCTGATTTTAGGGTGGATTAATGCTGAATGAATCAATATGTTGATTTCTCAATCAGCTATAAATTTGTCACTCAGTTTGCAGTCAATCTGTGAACAATTTAACCATGAATAAGAGGAAAGGAACATAATATCTTATTCCCAACAGGTTATTCATGAGCCAAACAAACATTACGATTTATGAAATTGTATAGAATTAAATCATTTCAGGTTGGTAGTGAATTCAACACCGTCCTCTCTAGGAGATTGTGTATTAGCGAAATATGGGTGGGAAAGGAGGTGGTGACAGTGGTAGCGATGGAGGGAAAGGAGGTGGTGGTAGTGATGGCGGTGGAGGGAAAAGAGGTGGTGGCGGAGGTAAGGGTGGTAGAGGGAAAGGAGGCAGAGGTGGTGGAAGCAATGGTCGCAGATCAGGGACTGGTTCGAGTAGCTAAGGCATGTCTAATGGCAGTGGTGGCGATGGAGGGAAAGGAGGCGGAGGTGGTGGCAGTAGTGGTCGTAGATGGAGGCTCCTAGTGGTGGAGGGGCTCTTATTTCTAGGGTTGTTTTTTAGAGTAATCCAAAGGATACTTCGATCAACTCGATGCCAAGGGAAAGTAGTACTAAGGAATAAATCATCTTTCTCTGCTTGAAGCTTGTTGTTTCTTTTCTATTTATGATTGTGGTGACTGGTGGCCGGGTTTGTTTTTGCTGGGTAGGATTTATGTAATGTTTTGACATCTGATATATCTTCCCAACTATAGTATATCTATCTAAACTTTTCAATAAAAAAATAATAATGTTCAAATGAGTATGAACGAGTTCAACTGAGGCTCCCTCTCTCTCATCAGGCTAAAAATAGTTTGACCACTAGTCAGTGCTTATTCGTTAGGGGAAACGAGGGAATTTTGTAAATATATATTTTTTCATCTGAATCATTAAAGGAAGGAAGGCTTTTGCTAAAATGAAAATATAAGAGAGGTTTTTATGATTGTCAAAAACTTTAGGGGAGGTTTTTGTATTTTATTCTAATTATTTCGAGATTGGCTTCTGTTAGGGCAAGCCCATACCCATACCATTCTAACTATCTTTTGCAACCTTGCATTGGGAATATCTTCCTATGAAATAAAACACATAAGCACAGAGATATTCTCAATGCAAAGTTGTAAATGCTGCTCGAACAGGCTTTGCCCTGACCGAACATAGCAGGCCTAGGCCCATGCCCTATAAAGCTCGAAAGCATGGCCCAGACTGATGTAGGACTTCGCTTGCAAACTCGGCTTTATCCAGTGCAAGGTCCGTTCGAACATCTTTTATGGCCTTGCATTGGAAATATCTCCCATGAAATAAAGTACATTGGTATGGGATATTCCTAACGCAAGTTGTGAAGGCTATTTGAACGAGCCTTACACTGACTGAAGCCGAATTCTTCGCCTGGGTTAGTATCTCTAGCTCAGAGTGTAAGACAGGCTGGTCTTGGGCAAGCCCTTTATTTATAGGTGTTAACCCCAGCCTATATGAATATGATAGTCCCTCTGTGGCTATGTTACATTCTCCAATCCGAGTTCACATCTCCACCCCACAAACATTGCATAATACATTCCCGTCATGTGTTGGGAACATCTCCAGATCATGATATCATTGATTCTGGTATTATCATCAGGAGATGTTCCAATAGACGGCAGGGAAGTGCTATGGGACGTTGTGGGGCGATGTATAACATTCATCCGTTCTCAGTTCTCACTGGGTATGTGTTATCAAAAATATTAAAAAGTTTTCATGATAAGTTAGAATTAACCATATAGGGGGGATTCAAGACCAATAGTTGGGAGTAGCTAGATTTTGGCTAGAAGGGAGTAGCTAGATTTTGCCCAGAAGAAAAGGAGTAGCTAGATGGGATTGTTCATTCCTTTGTTATCACCGACCGTTACATCTATGATTTATTTTTAGGGTAGATTTTAACTTCGTATTAAGGAAATTGGAGTACAACCTTTCTCTAACCTCTAACCTCTAACCTGAGGTAAAAAAAAATAAAGGTTAAAACAAACCTGGAGTGTAGAAAGGAGTGATTATCGCTCGCGCTTACTTCTTCTCGAGTCTTGACGTGAAAGAATGCATATAGAAAGAAATATTAGGGTTTGGGATAATGCTTGTTTCTATTACAGGGATTGGAAGATTAGGAAAGTGCATTTATTTTTACTTTTTACATAATTAAAATAATGGGAAAATTGTAGATTATTAACTTGTATTTTGGGCTTAGTTTCACTTTAGTTCTTAATTTTCAAGACATGTCAATTCAGTACTTATCATTAAGTAGCCATTAAGTGATATGTGAAAAGATGCAAATGTCATTTGGATGTCATCTAATTTTTTTTTATCTAAACAGTTAATTTCCTAAATAAAATAAAAAATTTAAAATGTACCAATATATTACCTAACTGATGGAAATCTTTGTGAATTATTTAAATAAAGAAAATTAGATGATACTCAAAGGGCATTTGTGTCCTTTCACATGTAACTTAACGGTTGATTAACCATATGTAATAAATTGACATGTTTTGGAACTTTAGGTACGGATTGGCACGCTTTAAAGTTTGGGGACTAAAGTGAGACTAAGCCCAAAGTACAAGTTACTAATCTGCAATTTTCTAACAGAAATCTAGGGTTTTTTATATTTGGAATAGAAAAAAAGAGAGATGAGTTTTGAAGTCCGTTCGGAGTTAGGATAAGGTTGGTCCAAGGCCCATATCATTTAGGAAACCATTTTATTTTGTAGAGAGGAGGTCAAGTTCATCATATTAACATCTAATTAAAAGTCTAACCTTGCAAACTTGTACTAGCGGAGAAGCCCTTGCCTTGTAGGGGCAAAATAGAAAAATGTCATTTGGAGATACAATAATAAATTAATTTTGTATGTTAAATAAAATAACTATAACTATATTGCTACAAATAATAAATAACTATAGTAGGCCCCAATCTGGTTTAGGGTCGTCAACGATTAAGGTCTAAGTAGAACTAGTCTTGAACAAATTATTTAATTAGGATAAAATCATAGGCCTTATTATATTGAAAACAATAGTTATTTATTCAAATAGTAACTTAAATTTTAAATTTTGATAACATAACCTTAATAAAAATGATAAAAAATACTATATTAATTTTATATTAATAAGTCAAACCCTTTTAACTAATATTATCTAATTTGTTATCTATTAAATTCACTATTTCAAACATAAAAAATGATAAAAATTACATGAAAGTTAAAAAATTATATGTTTCAAAAAATAATCAATTCTGGATTGGAATAAGTTCTAGATAGGTAAGAATAAAAACCAACCCAATTATTAATCGAGACAAAATCATGGAACTAGAACTATTATAATTATCTTTAGTCAATTTAGCTCCACTAGGTAAACCCAACCCATTGGTTCAACACTAGTTTTTTAAATAAATTATTATTTATATAATAATTTATTAAATTGAATAAAATAAATAAAAGTTTATTGGGATGAGACTAGTATAAGCTATCTCAAACTGGACCCGACCGGTTGACAACTCATATTGGGCTCAAGGGGAAAGAATAATTTGTTAGGATTAACGGCTCTAACAACCTTTGTACTATTCAAAAAAGGCAATTTTGCACTCGAACTAAAGAAAATGTCAATTTAGACCCTAGATTTAAATAAAAGAAGGCCAACCGTAAGCAAATAATGCCTAGTATTAGTAACGACATTCACAATCCACTAAATAATGAATAAAATAATATGAAATACTGATATAGCACTTTTAACTCAAAAGTTAAAAAATTGCAAGTCGATCCCACTGAATAAAATAAAAGTAATATATAAGTGGGCCCCACTTTGAAATTATAAGTGGGTGCAACCTCTCTCTCCCCCTGATTTAAATAAAAGAAGGCCATAATGCCTAGTATTAGTAACAGCATTCACAATCCACTAAATAATGAATAAAATAATATGAAATACTGATATAGCACTTTTAACTCAAAAGTTAAAAAATTGCAAGTGGATCCCATTGAATAAAATAAAAATAATATAAGTGGGCCCCACTTTGAAATTATAAGTGGGTGTAACCTCTCTCTCCCCTTGTCTTTTCCCTCATTTCCACCCGCCTTGCTACTACAATTAGGGGTGCAAATGAATCGAATTCAAATCAAATCAAACAATATCTGAATTTGAATCCAATCAGAAAATTCGATATCCGACGGATATTGAAAATTAATATCCAAGTTCGAATCTGATTAAATAGTCGAATATTCAATTCGATTCGAATTTGATTAATTAATTATTTTAGATAATTAATAAATATATAAATAAATATTTTATTGATATAAAGTATATAAATATATAAATTATTTATATAACTCAATTATTATATTTAAAATATTTTATATATTATATATAAGAATTAAATAGTCGTTCGAATTCGAATATTTATCGAATCAAACTAAGTCGTATCTAAATTCGAATCCAATTAACTATTCGATAAGAATAAGATATCCGAATTCGACCGATTAAATATTTGAATTATCCGAATTCAATTCAATTATATTGAAAATTCAAAATCAAATTTTCAAATACCGTTAACACCCCTAACTGCAATTCTCAACAACTGCGAGTAACACTCCCCACCCCCACCCCCCACCCCCACTGTTTTGGCAACGAAATCACCTTTGGGAACAATGAGGTTTACTCTAACTTGCTACTAGAGTACGGTTCTGGAGGATCTCTATCCGAACATATAAAGAGATCGAATGGTGGGAATCCGTAGTGAAGCACTATGCCAAGTCAACTCTTAAGGGCTGTATACATTCGTTCCTATGGCTATGTCCACTACGATATGAGTCCGCGTTGATGGGGTGAATAGAAGGTAATGTTAACAGGATTTTGGTCGTCAACTGAAGGTGTTCGGTTGAACCGGACACAAAAAGGACAAAAAACCCAAGTTCGCCTATCCTCCTCATTTCGAACTCTCTCCCATTTTTTTATTCTCCTCCACCGAACTCTAGCCCAGCAGCATCCATTGGCATCCTCACTCTATATCAACATTTGTAAATGCAAAAGCCACCGGCGGCGAGAAGAATATCACTACTGACTTAAGCATCGGAGTGCCCACCCCGGATAAAACACATCAAGTATTCTATCTGTTCTCTTACAGCTCGGCCAACCAATCTCACCAGCCCGACGTCCAAACTGTTCTCTAGCATGAAGCTACCAGATGGAGCATCATCAAGACTTACCTATAATTTCAAGCGGAACCCACTTATATATTATTTTTAACATGTATTAATTATATATTAAATAGTTTTATTTTATTCAATAGGACCCACTTGTAATATTTCAGTTTTTTTGAGTTTAATTGTATCTCTTTAGAATTTCCAATTATTTAATTCATTATTTAACGGATTATGAATAGTGTTACTAACACTCGGCATTATCTGCTTATGGTTGTCCTTTTTTTTAAGTCTAGGGTCTAAATTGGCCTTTTCTTTAGTTCGGGGGCAAAATTGCCTTTTCTGAATAGTACAAGGGTTGTCATAGCCATTAACCCTAATTTGTTAGTAAATTATTTCTAAATAAATAAATAAGTGCTTATTAAATAATTTTCCATTAAAATCTCCTTTATTTTATTAAAGTAAATAATATATTTACTTTGATTAAATAAATAAATGTTTAGATAATAATAATAAAATAAATGAATGAATAAAAGTTGAGATAGAAAGTAGGAGAGAGAAAGAATTAAGCAAAGAAAAGAGGGACGATATAATCATAAATAATTATATATGACACTCCTATAATTTTCAAATGTCATAGAATCAATTAGATCGGGAGGTTTGTCCTACTCCTGTCAAAGGCAATTACATGGTGAGGTAAAGAGGATATAATTTATTTAATTGGGTTGGGTCTGAATCGGTTTGGCACTAGGTGAAACCGGTTCCAAACCGATAGTAATCGGGACCCTATATCATTACTAGGAACTGACGAATCAGTTTTGATTACTTGAACCAGAACCGGTCCTATCGGTTCGGGTCAACCGGGCTCGTCAGGTTAGACTCGACCCATTGACAGCCTTAACCATAGAGGCAATTATAGAGTTAAAGAGGAGAGTAAAGAGAAAGAATAGAGAGATAGAAAATACCTATCAAACCAACAGAACACCACAGAGTGTCAGCTTCTAAATGCTATCCGTACACCTTGAGTATGTACTTATAGAATTTTACATAAGTACGTAAAATTACTCTTATTTGTAATGATTTACACTAGAGAGAAACGTAGTGCTGTATTCTGTTGTAAACTTACAAAAAATTAAATGGAAGGAAGCTCAAAGAAAAGAAAAGATTTAAAGATGGTATATGGTCTCTGGTTTCTGGTGGGACGGTCCTCCGACTCCGACCACATCGTGCGGTAGCGCGGCATATATGGAGGAGAGGAGGAGTCTAATTAATTGGTACTGGGTTTTGTCGTTTTGAAAGTGTAGAGGATAAAATGCTTGTAGGTCTTCTTTGGGGTGATGATCTGGGAAGGGAAGTCGGGGTGATGGAGGGAGTCAGGGAAACCCTGAGTCTCCAGACAAAGTCCAGCATGAGGCTTGTACACCGCCCCATTTTTCCCCTTGATGTCCTTCAACTTGTCTGCCGTGTATAACTGCAACCCCGGTGCACTCGTCCGGAGCTCCATCACTCTACCTGACTTGCTATCGCTCAGGATTGCTGCCTTCTTCATGGTGCGGGGGCCACCTTCTGCGTCCACCACGTAATTGATGTCGTATCCATTTGGAAGTTGGTCAATCCTGCTTCCCACTGTTTGTGGCTCCCCGAAATCGTAGGGCGTGCCCTTAACTGGGGCTATTTCGCCGGTTGGGATGAGCTCAGAGTCGACGGGAGTGTATTGGGATGCGAAGATCTGAAGGGTCTCCGATAAGATGTCGCCGCTGTTGTGGCCACCAAGGTTCCAGTAGGTGTGCTGCGCCAGGTTCACCGGGGTGGCCTTGTTCAGCGCCTTGGCCTTCATCGTCACGCTAAGTTGGTTCTCTACGGTGATCATATAGTTTACGCTCACTATCACTTTACCTGGGAATCCTGTAATAATAATGTATGTAATTAATATTCATACTTGATAATATATTAGGGATTGATCATTAACAAAGAATAAAGAATGTTTGTATCATCTTCTCATCAATCTACACCAATCTTCACTGCTATCATTGGAGCTTTCCGCACTGTTATATTTTTTTTTTTTTTGACGATTTATATGAAGACGTGTGTTTCAGTGTTCACTGTTCAGGTCTACCACCTAAGATTAAGATGCTAAATACATAAGATCATCATCAGATGGACTTCTGGTTCTGAATCTGGCACCATCAAAGGATTTGGACGGAGATAGCGATAGCGTCTATCGCTTATTGGGTTAGGGTCAATCGTATCAGTTATGACACTCACATATTTTTCTGTCGAAAAGATCGGACAGTTGGTTGTAATGGAAAAACGAAAGACCTGGAAAACAAATATAGGATGTAACTAACGAGTGGGAGAGTAGAGAGTGCCAGTGGTGACCTTGTTCGCCATCGGCGCTTTGATAATGGAAGCGGACGTAAGGACAATGAGAAGCCGGACTATGCTTCTTAACCTGCCAAACCACATCGCTGAAACCCTTTTGCCCACCTATCAACAAAACTCCATTAATCAATCAATCAATCCAGAATCCAGATTTGACGATCTTTATTCTTTAAAGAAAGACAGAGAAGAGAGAGAGAGATGTATGTGTAAATGTTCTTCATGCGGCCATTACCGTGAAGCGTGTTCTTCCCATCATTTGCAACTAAATTGTAGGTGGTGTCATTCAAAGTAAACTGAGCCCCTTTAATTCTATTAGCCACCCGTCCTACTATGGCTCCAAAGTAGGATGTATCAGTCTGCAACCGGGAATTTGTGGGATTCAACCATCATCAATACTAAATTTAAATAAATAACTTAAACAAGAAGACATAAGATTAGCATCATCGTTGCTATATGGCTAATTCTTCGGTTACATTCTTTTTTTTAATCAATGCTGATTCGGTTATATTCTCAAATCTCAACAATGAATGAATGATATACTATCCAATTAATAGGAAAAACAATTAAAAAAGTGGACGTTTTTGTGTGCAAATACCCGTTTTTTATTTTACAAGAAAATTAAGGAACAAATTGAACAACGTCTTTGTATTCATCAAGTGGACGTTTTCCTCGATCATCCCTTGTTGAAAAGAATGAGGAAAATGCAAATCTCACCTTGTATTCATCAAGTGTATCATAACCAAGAACGATATCACCCAGATTCCCTGAAGAAGGAGGAAAAAAATATATTCAGGAAAACTGAGACATAATATATAAAATAGAGTAATAACAGAACCTGCCATTGGAAAGAGAGGAGGAGCGAACCTTGTTTGTCCGGGAGAACAATAGAGGTTATACGTGCACCCCAATTAGTGAGATTCACATAGAAATTACCCTTCTTGATCTGATATATCCCAACATTTGCCTCATTTGCAGAAGAAACGTGGAGCAAAGCAAAAGCCACGAAAATAAAACACAACAGCTGAGAGAGGTTGGCCATTTCTCAAGATGCAAAGAGAGAGATCAGACCTTTTTATTTCCAAGAAGAGAAGCGTCAACGTGGGACGTAAATAGTGGTGGAGAGAAGGGGAAGGGGGGATGAAATTGAATCCGTACGTTATGAGACGCTATTAAACGGAAAAGATGTCATTTTCTTTTTTTGGCTTTTATATATGTTTCCTTCATTGTGTGTGACGTTCATAGTAAACTTCTTAACAACATTAATTAGGAAACCTTTTCAAGGCCTAAAGGAATTGAGCCAACTGTCTAATTTCAATTAATAAACATGTTTTTACTTTTTAGACCCATGCGGAAGTGGGAGATCACATTTCCGCCCCACATCACATCTCTGCCGTGTATTTGGAATATCTCTCGTTGATGATATCATTGAAACTGGTATTATTATTGGAAAATGTTCTCAATACATGGTGGGTATGTGCTATGAGGCATCATGGGGCGACCGCTTGTGAGGCGGAGATGTGAACTCTGGAAGTGGAGTTCATATATTACAACATTTAAAGTATCGATACGATACACCCCGTATCGGGCGTATTATATCGCATCTTTTGAAAATGATACAGTCCGAAATGCACATTCCTCAATTTTTTTAATAATAAAAAACAGGTTATAAGCTTTCAAAAAAACCAAACTTTGAAAAAAAAATTAAATTTCGACCGTTTCTAAGTGCTGATATGATGCATTAATTCATGGGGGCTAATGGAGGGAAGAATTGTAAAAACCACCTATAATTCAATCCCGATCTCCTACCCACATTGTAGATTGGGAACATCTTCCCATGAATGGTAATATGTAAATAGGAAGATGTTCTCATCTACAGCTGTAATGTCCTGTGGGTAGGAGATCCGAGCTCCCTACAATTATTTTCAATGCCACCACCTACAATTTAGCTTCAATTGCTTTCTTAAGATATATATATATATATATATATATATATATCTAAACCACGTCGGTGTTAAAGGAATTAACAGAACCAATTTTATTAAAATAAGAAATTTAATTTAGTACAAAGATGGGGCAGCGATAAACACTCTTAGCCCTCCCCACCAAGAGAAAGATTAACAGTACAGCCCAAAATAAATAATTCCTTCCGCCATTTTCTCTTATCCTAGTAGTAAATGTTTCACATAAATTATTAAATTGTGTTTACAATTTATTTATTTATAGTAAGCTAATGAACAGTTGAACCTTCAATTTGGGTGATGTTTGGAATTGATGATCGATGATTTCTTGAAAATCACTACCATATCTAAACCACGTCGGTGTTAAAGGAATCAACATTGGAATTTTTGTTTGGTTGACCAATTTTGGTGATTTTTAGGAAATTGGCCAAAAACGATTATTGAAATCAGCCCTTTGTTTTGTTTTTTTTGGTAATTTCTAGTTGATTCTGATTTTTTATGATGACATGGCATCCAATAAGGCACTGAATAATAACCCTAATATAGAACTAATCGGTCCTTGAGAATCAGTACCAAATAGACTGAAAGCTGATTTCTCAAAAATCAGCTTAATGGCAGAAATGATAACAAAAAAATTTACCAATTTTTGAAAAAAAAAAACACTGATTTCAAAAATCACAAATTTTTGAAAAATCTACCGGTAAGGAAGAAACATCATCGATGCCAAACATCACCTTGATGTCATTGGTATATTCATGGGATTTCTAAGAGTTCCTTTAGCATACATTAATTTATATCCTGATCGATCATCAGCGTATCCATGTTATCCAAAATGCATCATGATTCATATCTTAAAATCCAATATTATTAGGGGCACAACTTAGGTTGTTTTGGATTTGGAATTTGTTAAATTTTCAATGGATCCAAACCCTAGTCCAAGCTCAATGCAGTTGAAAATTTTCAAATAAGGCACCCTGATTTGCAGACCTACATAATACTTTTGGGGAGAGAGGAGGAAAAGAGGGACTTTTAACAGAAGTTGTTGAAACAAATGAACGACTGTACATATGCAGGGTTAGAACAATTTTATTGGTATCAACAAAAAGAAGTGGAAAAAGAAGAAGAAGAAGAGAAAGAGGGAAAAACAGATGACAAAAAAGGTCAACAAGGATCGATAAAGAAAAAGATAGCTTTTAATCAGCTCCACTCCTGCGAATTTATTCCACACTCCGGTCGCCCTTTAATTTTATATAGCCCACTATTGTGTCTAGGTTCGACCTACATGGCTTATCCTCTTGATTTCATCTTTCTCTTCCACAAAAAAAAGGCCTAACACAGTCCCTCACCAAAGACAGATACCAAAGCTGGGTACTCCCTCGTTTTCAAACACCAAAGCCAAATTAGTGCACCATCACCATTAGTCGTCAGTTGTCCCCCCGGATGGAGTTCCCCAACCTCTTCAGTATACGTAAGACTGCTTCATTCCACTCCATGAACGTGCTGCTCCTACTGGTGTTTGGGGGAACTCTAGCCAGGTGACACACTGAATAGTTCTAGCTAGCTCTCATGTTCCATCAACTACTTCTTCAGTTTTGATACTTTTTTAGGGTCCCATCGTTCATGAGTTACGAAATAATATAATTAAAGAAGAAAAGGAGAAGATGAATTAGATTAGAGATCTGGATTTTCAAATAATGGGAGTAAATGCTTTAACAAGGACTCCTCCATCGATCAATCATGGGTAGAGAGAGAGAGAGTAAACAACTAAAATGGGGTTATTTCCATTGGTTTCACTCACTAATTCGTCAAGAACAGAAAAAAAAAAAGAAAAAGAAAAGGATCAAATTGCAAGTAAATTAAATTAGTTAATTGCAATTTGACTTTATACTCTTGTAATATCCAGAAACGTATCCATTATTTTTTACTTTATTCTTCTGCATCTTTTTCGATCATCAGACTGATCATTTGCCTATAGGTAGGGAAGGTTCAGACTTCAGAGGTGTTTGACAAGTGGTTTAGGAGAAGGCAAAAACAAAAAAAGATGATAGCAAAGCTTTTCAGCACCACCGTCATCCCACCCAGATTTATTCTCCACCGGCCTTTTTATCCAGCCTACGATTGCGTCTATGTTCATTGCGCTCAGCTTATCCTCTTTGATTTACTTGACGGTCTCTTACCAAAGGCCACCATAAGTCTAAGCTGGTGAGTTTCTATATAAATACCAAAGCTGGGTATTCGCTTCAATTCATCAAACAACCAAAGTTAAATTAAACAACAAAGGGCACATCAGGTGTCCCCTAGGGTTCCTCCAACCACTTCAGTGCGTGGGTGGGAGTTTTCTCTCCAACCACTTCAGTATATATCCCCCCCCCCCCGTCCTCTCTACTGAAGTGTTTGGGGGAACTCCAGGTGCCACATGATATATATATATATTTATCGATCAACTGGTCACCAAGGTGCGACATCAAGTGTCCCCTAGGGTTCCTCCAACCACTTCAGTGGGGTTTCTCTCTCTAGCTTGTTTGGGTTGAATGTATCAATGCATCTAATTCCTCTCTACTGAAGTGTTTGGGGGAACTCCAGGTGCCACTGGATATATATATATATAGATTACCTCGTCTCCAAGGTGAGAACTTAACCTTGTTTATCTCTTCCTATTATTTTATTCTGGTTATCAAGTCATTAGATAGGATAGAACTTTGACAATTCTAAAGCGTGCATGTGTTGTCGGGTTCTCTCCCTTCCGAACGCGTTACTTGACCTATCAATGCATCCAAGGAAAAACTAGTCGAGGCTGTCTTTTGGCTTTATTTGTGCATACTCCATCCATTCAGCTGATTGTCCTTGTCTTTTTGGTTAAAAAAATATCTCCCGATAATTTATATTTTCGTTCAGGGAGATGTTCCCCGGTGCAGATCGGCCAGGATAATTTGAGTCTATCCAAAGTCTTGTAGATAAAAATTAAGTTTATCATGTTCATCATATAGATAGAGTTGAAGTTTATCACGTAAACTCACAAGAGTTTCTTCTACTCCATCGGTCCACAATGTCATGTACTACCTGTCTATTAAATTAGGTAGTAACAATTATTTGTTGTGGCGAGCCCAGTGGCACCACCATTTGATGGATTTGGTAGAAGTGAAGAAGCAATCACCACCAAAAGAGATCCTGAATCCAAACGGCGCCGGCACTATTACAAATCCAGAATTTGAAAAATGGTATAATATGGATCAACTAGTGTTGAGTTGGCTGATCTCTTCACTCACCGAAGGCATAATGGCACAGGTGGTTTGGTCTCTCTGCCTCACCAGAAGTCTGGGACACACTAGCACCCAGTTACACCACACACTCCAGATCGAAGGTTCTACAGCTAAGACGGCAACTCCAGACTCTCAAAAAGGGTTCGCTATTCATATCCACTTATGTGCAGCCTGCGAAGTCAATTGCAAACAGTCTCTCCACTATTTTGGTACCAGTATCAAATTTTGATATTGTTTTATTTATTTTAGCTGGCCTTGGTAATGAATATGAATCGGTAGTTGCTGCAATAACTAATAGACCTGATGCTGATAGTCATAGTGTACCAGATATTCTTGCTTCCCTTATCAACCATGAAGGTTGGCTTGAGGAGCAATCTCGTTGTTCAAATGATTCTTCTATTAATGTTAATTTTGCTGGAGCAAAGAACAAAAATTATCAACAGCAAGGGAAACCCCCTTAGCAGTATGCTCCCAAGTTTAATAATGGGCGTGGCAAGGGAAGAGGTCGAGGACCTACCATCAGAATAATTTCAATAATCAACAACAGTTCCCCAGACAGTTTTCCTATGGAGGTCGAGGGAACAAAAACTCTGATGTGACATGTCAGATATGCAATAAGAATGGCCACAGTGTGCTATATTGTCGCAAGGCCAGGTATGTTTTTGGCTTTCAAAATGATAATAATTCTTTCAGTGATCCAACTGCTTATCATGGAGTAGTGAATACTCCTCAATACAATGGGAATCAATCATACTAGTCATTTGATCCGACTTGGTATCCAGATTTCAATGCTACTGACCATATGACTCTAGAGATCGGCA